CACGTGATCCCCCCCCTCCCCCCCCTCCCCCCTCCCCCAAAAACAATTATCTACCAATGTTACTTTTAATCTGTATAATCAAAAACGGTCTTTAAATTCTATTAAAACCTGCTTAAATTTGACATGATTGTATAAGGAGTGTTCGGCTAATAATACAGTGAATGATATTAGTTTTCCAAGCCTTATTTTAGACAATTCTCAGAGGAAATTTTCAATCGGCATGATATTCTCGATTATTATAATGGTCCTAAAATATTGCATTTTTCCAGGACCACTTTTCCATATCTATATAACAATAGAAAGCTTATGAATCTCAGGTATCTAAATAATGTAGTTAAACCTAAAATGCAAAATTGCCCCACAGTGCTCATTCGCTTCCACCAGGTCACAATAGTATGATCAACATGGCAATACAAAACATCATCTATACTCTACTCAAAAAGCACTGCACATCCATCCATCACTATACATGAGTATCACTGATCCTTGCATGGAGAATCCAGAACCTACAAATTCGAAAACTGGCTTGAATCTCCTACTTAGCACACGATGAATTATAATGCAAGAGCGTATGTAAAGAGGTTATACCTTACTTTATACGCTCTGATATAATGCAAGAAAATAAGCTATTATTATGCATTACATTGCAATGTCAAGACCCAGATCATTTGAACCTCCGCTTCCTGCAGAACCGATTAAGATGTTTGTGGAGCAGGCTATTTTCTGAGTAGCCAAAACCTTACGGCATAAAGAAAACCATAATTGTTCCTGACGCTAGATGGGCTTGCCCGCCTGGTGAAACAAGCAGAACAAGGGCGAGAAACTACAAACGATTCTTTCAACCGGCCTAGTGCGTGAACACGCCGTTTTTACAGACTACGACAGGAGAACTACCGAAAACCTGCTAACCTGTATTATAGTCAAAACTTGGACATAACATTACAGAGATTGATGCTTTCCATAAATCATCATTTGAAGCTTTCACAGCAATTTGTACATTAATGTTTTGGGCATGTCCCAAATTCCTTATATCACATATCGCCAAATTACATCCAATAAATATATAAAGCAATGTGTTTTACAAATAAATATAATTTATACACAATTTATGAAAATCAGTAGGCTCCAGGTATAGATTAAGAACACTGATTAATTGTTGCACAGGATAATGTCTACGCCAACTGTACTAGCTAGGAGTATCTATATATACAATATTAATAATCTGAAATAAATAATCTTTATATTTGTTTCACAGGACACAAATTTATCAAACAAAAAATTAACTTTCAAACGTATTTGTGTGCCGTAGCTTGCCAAGCTAATCCGCATAATAAAGGAATTGACTATTTGACATCATATAAAAACCGACTTTAGCTTTGGTTAAAAACAAAAATACAAATAAAAATTACAGAAAATATGATGCACTATTAACAAAAGGCTATGGAGGTGTCTCAGAAAAATTTTGACAGGACTCATCATGGATGCGCCAGCCAGACGAAACTCTGTCCAACATGCTAAACTGAAGAGGTTTCTTAGGTTTGGAAGGTCTGGAAAGCTTTATGTCTGCTTGATTTGTTGCTGAGATTTCCATGTTTTCACTGCAGAGACCAGCCGCGCTGGTGGCTCCCAGATAGCCAGCTGCAAAATTGTTTAGGAAATTCCCATGCTATGTATGCAAGGTCCAATCGCAAATTTGAACAAATTCTATATTAAAAATACCAAGAAATCTTCGGATAACATAATTCGTTCCTAGAAAAGGGTGCTTTCCTGGGTTAAACTCATCAAAATTTAGAAATATCAATTAAAACGTCTTGATAGGCTCCAACATCTCAAACATTTTAAAGCAGGATTTCTCACATAAATTTTTTCGAACTCGTTTTTCACATTTTCCTCGACACCATTGCTGATACTTACTGGTACTCCTTGCATTTAACACCCAAGTGTAACATAGTGAATCGCTAACCATCCATCAGAACACTCGCACATCTATTTTCACCAATATGTACACGCAATCCTTATTAAAAGTTATATTTTTTAACAAAAAAACATGTTAACAGAAACTGCCCGGCAAGAGCCCATCGCACCGGTACTTAATCTCTACATCTATTTATTTTTACCTCTGTCATTACATTTCGAGAGATAAGGTACCAGTCTATAATGAAAGGTGTCCAAATGACCACTGTAGCTCACCACAAATGTAGGACACAAAATGATGTGAGTAAGAAGAAGTCAGTTTAACTTGAGGCAACCCATCGACGATACATATATAGAAACGATGTTGCCATCTGTATTATCGCAATAATACATTTTATAAACCAAATTGAATTCAAACCAATTGTGACCGTAGCATGGCGCCTATACCGCTTTTGTAGCGATGACGTTTGAAATAAATAGGTTATGCTTTGCGTTCGACATGTGTTTGTAAAACTTTACTGCTAAATATTAGACGTTTTATCGCAGCGTGCGAGAGGAATACCAATTTTGGGCATTAAAGACTATGTCAAATTGAAATCTTGTAAAAACGAAACCAGACGAGTGTGACACCCAACAGACTGTTTGGGTCTATATAATATGCTATATAATTGCCAAATACCTAATTTGCATAATTTTTCTTTAAAATATCAAAAACCCTAGCCCCTTATTCATTCACATACCAAAAATGAACAAAATCCGTTGAACCTGAAACTGACTAATGGCAATTCCCATTTTTGCCAAAAAAATTGCGGTGGCTCGAAAGTACGTCGACTAGCGTGCTTCAAAAAATAGGATGTTTAATATGGGAGCATAGCAGTAACAACTATAACCCAATTTCAACATGT